GCTAACATCTCACCCCTCCAATAGGTCAGGAATCTGTGGTTAACCTGCATTACCAAACATTTTCCCCTTCTCTAGTCATCTTGTTGCCCCTTAAAAAACAAACCACCAAACCAAAATAATCTAAAAAGCCCTAGGAAGTATCCCCACATCTACGTAATACTAGCCTAAAAGACCCAAACAACACTTCACATCATTAGACTGTAACATCAAAATCATTACTTCACCTAATAATTTTGTTCCATCACAACCTACATACACAGATCACCTGTGATCTCATGTTTTGTATTATGTCTTTTTTTGCTGAATTTAAATAATGGAACGTGTTGAATGGATTATGACATGATCATAGAAGAGGATTAACTCACAGATGTCTTAAGATTTATTAACTGAATCTTCCCTTAAGATGAGATTTACTAAAGGAGTCTACTTCCAATGTTAGGACAATGCATAATGTAGATTAACAGAACACAAAGTCTGGGTATTTTGGAGGATTTAGCACAGAGGGGTGCTTCACTTCCCAGATGCAAATCAGAACAAAGAATTGTTTCTAACCGACTCAAGTGATAGTATAAAGGAAAATGTGGGACTTCTTTGGGAAGCCTTACACTGCTGAGAGTAATAGAGAATAAGAAAGATGAAAGGAAGGATACACACTTAAGGATAATAATCTTTAAGGCTAATGTGTTGTTACCTTTCCTTACGTGAAATTTTCATATGTAAATCATGACCTTCCTTCACCACAACTACAAAAACCATGCTGAATTCAACTATACCTAGCCAGTGATTAACAGAGAAAATCCAACATGATTAGATGGACAAGAAAGCCTTGAACAGCATTTCCTTGTTTTAGAAGTACTGTTAAGTTGTATCTTCTTTAAAGAACAGAATATTTAGTCTAAGCTTTCATCTCAGAGGACTTTCTCCCACAAAAAAGGGCCCAGTCCTGAAAACAGAACCAGATAAATGACTCCTCAAACTGCACAAACCATTGAACAATCAAAAACATAATGGTGGGATATAAGTACCCTAAAGTTATAAAGAAAAAAACCTGTTGGTATTGACAGTAAGAGGGGCCTAACTTCACAAAGCTTGTCAACAACTGCCTTATGAAACACCTCTTTTGGTAAAGCAATGTCACCAACATCAACAATGTTACACCAATAAATCACTCCTAGTTTCAACTTCTAAATTAAAACTCACCACATGTTATCAGCACAGGTTCCAGAAGAACTGGAAGAACTGTCTTGCCCATAGCCTATTCTGTTCTTTCACTTCCTTCTGAAATCAGGGCTTAACAAATGGCAAAACATCAGCCTTTTCAAGAAAATGACTTGCCTACATTTTAAAAGAATAAATAAGTTTTAAAATAGGCTAAGGTAGGGAGAACGTTGTTTAAAAGCCAGCATATTGCTTCCTGACATTTCTAGCTCTCCCTATTCAATGAAGCTCAAAAACAAAAGAAAGGACATGAGTAAAGCTGGGACTTGGCAAACTCTATTGGGGAAAGAATAGGAAAGGCCAAAGAAACCACGAAGGAACAAATAGCAGAATGACAATCTCATCTGTGGCTTTTGTAAGCAACTATGACAGAAACATTTACCAAACTGCATCTTCCTTGTGACCAAGTTTAGAAAATTTTTTAGGCTCAGGCACTCTCTGTGTCACGTCATTTGTGACACAGTTAAAAATAAGGAATTTGTAAGGTTAATTCTGTTTCTGAAGTATCTAGCTTAAATCACCTGTTCTTAAATGTGGACATGAAATTGCTTTACTTCTGAAGTCAGGTTCAGTTAAATGACTGTGAAACTCTAGAAGTCTCCTAAACAACATTCTTTTTTTCTTATTTTGATAGGGTTTAATATTTGTTTCATTTTTTAGAGCACATAACCTTGAGCGAACCATAAAATCCACTGCCAAGCTACACTAAGAATCTTGGCAACAGAAGAACTGCCTCCAGAAGCCTTAGATCCTCTATTTCCCATTTATATTTTCACCCTTCTCTGTGAAAGTCTCCTGCTTCCAACTATACCACCCCACCCAACCTTCTGTATCAGCTCTGAGCAAACTTTCAACTACTGCAACTCCCTAAAACTGGAGAAATTACATCACTGCTTCCATTCAGTGAATATTTTTGCTATTTCAGCAACTTACTGTATCTTAAAACCAGGCCTGACAAGTGTTGCAGTAGGCTCCTGGGATGTACATACAGCATGGGATGAGGAGCAAGAAAGGAGAAGGAGCAATGGCCACTGCTAATTTAGCTCACAACACCAGACACAGCCTCCAAAGTGCTTAAGGCCTACAGCCAGCCCACCTGTTTCAACAGAAGACTCCCTACCAAGTTTCCAGCTAACAAATATGCTAGGAAAGCATCAGTAAAGGCTTCTTGGTATGAAAATAGTAGTCCTTTCCCCTAAAAGCTTTTATTTCTTTAATAAGAAATGCATTGATTTTGAACGGTACAGAGAAGAGCCAGCACATTACACAATGGTATACCACATCTTCATACATGAAAACCCCAGGAATTTAATTGCCGCGGTTTATCAAAGTGGGAGCAAGAAAAATGGCCAAGGATTACAAGCTAGCTACAGAAGAAATCCCTATCTGCATACTCCATCCTCACAAAATCTAACACCTTGGTTCAAGCATTTGTAAATCTTGTAGAGAAAATGATAAATCTGAAAACAGAAGCTGGGCGAGTTCAGATTCAAAAGAAAGAAGCATCAACAGCAAGAGAGGTGATTTAAAAACAACAATAGAAAAGACAGACTGGATTTTCCATCATTGAAAGCATTCAAACCAAGACTGAATTTGTCCCCAGCCTTCCTTGGAAAGTATATTCTAGTTTAAACAGGAATGCATTCAGGAAGTGCTAACAGCCTGTGCAGCACAGGCCAGGCCAGACTGTCACCCTTATCATCTATATAGGATTTGACACCATTAAAGTTCAAAAAATTCATACTCCAGACAACTACTTACAGTTTAGTTTTGGTAACAGTTCACATAAAATACAAATACACCTTGCATATTTGTTTTGAAAAGAGGCAATTTGTAAAGGAGCATAAGCAGAAGGTGAGAAATTTGTTTACAATTTAAAAAGCAAAATTTACTTTCCAAAAGAAATGGTGACTGGTTAGTTGGCTGAGCTCCTAAAAACTGTTTTTTCAGCCAGTTACTCCCTTACACTGCTCAAAAAGACAATATATCCTTTACTATAGCTGACGTTTGCACAACGTGAACAAAATAAAATCCAAAACAGGGCGGTTTGCAGAGAGGGACCCATCTCCTGGGTAGAGCTCACAGAAAATAAAGTAAGCTTCTCTTCAGTGCGGCTCAGAGTTACCAGAATAACAAAATAATAGCAATAAAATACCAACTCTTTGCTGACTACCACTTACCAATTTTAGCCTTCAAGTCAAAGTACGTTACCATATCTTGCAACGTGTAGAATGAAAAAAATTGCACCACCTGATTTTAAGCCAGTCTGGATTAGGAAGTCAGAAATTATACGCCCTTCCGTCTGGGGCCATAATGTTTCCAAAAAATATTTAAAGAGCAGCAAAGTGAAAGTTTCCAAATGTATGAATAAAATGGATCGCGTGTTAGGTACAGAACCCAGGATCCCATGAGGACACTGCACCTCAAAGTGAGCTGAGAAATAATACACTGGTTTAGTACAGTATCTGCCTCACATACTGAGTATTATGTAGTATATACACACCAGAAGTAATTATCTTGCTACCTACAATCGTTAGATTGAGTAAAAAATATTCATGCACACATCCCATGAATTACTGGAACCCACCAATGTAAAAAAACCAAGTCGATCAACAACATTCTAAAAGCTCAACAGAAACATAAATTTCACTATATTGACTATATTCACTGTATTTTAAACTGCCTAAATGATTTTGAAACATAAAATCAAGTTTTTGGTGTTTTGGAAAAAGTTTATCCAAACATGAGCCACCATCGGCTTACATGGTTACAGAGACAGCCACTTATACATTACATCTGACACATTCAAGATGCGGAGTTTCTTCAGCGCTGAGACGAGCAACACAAATAGTGCACTGTATGAGAACTGCCTCAGTAAAAGGAAGTTTTTTAACTGCTGGCCAACCTAATGGAATCAGGTGACTCAAAGTAATACTTCAAATACCAAAAAAGTATTCCTGAGATACTTAGACAAGTCACAAATGAGTTGCTGGTGCATGCTAACTCACACCTACACAAGCAGAGATGCTTTCATCAACCAATATAGTAAACAAATATTGTTTATTTAGAAAGAGGCCACTTTCAGACAGGATGGGCTAATTTTGACAGTTGCATTAGCAGCAGATACTGCTGAAGAACTGAACAAAACAATTTAACTTCCTTTCTTTTTTTGTTGTTGTCGTTGGGTTTGATTTTTATTTTTTTTTCGCGTGTAAAATCACAGCTCACTATTAGCAGGTCGCGCAGTGCGGACTCTGGGCTCCCACCGGAGACACGGCACAGCCACCCCCGGATGCCACCGCGGGGGTCAGCATCAGCTGCCCTGACGCGCCGGGGGGCGAGCGGGCCGGGACAGCCGGGCCGGGACAGCCGGGCCCGCCGGTGGCCGAGGCCTCTCCCAGCGCCCCGCCGCTCCCGGGCTCGGTGGAAGCGGGACAAGGGGCGCCCGGGCTGCAGGAGCAGCACCCTCGGCCTCCGGCGGCTCTTCGGCCCTACGGTCGTTCCGCCGAGGAGAGGAGACGGAGGGGCACAAGCACAGCAGAAAAACAACTTTCCCCCGCCCCGGAGCCGCCGAGCCCCGAGCAGGGGCCGGGCAGCGGCGCCGAGGCCCGAGCGCGGCGCTCCCTCCGTCCCTCCCGCGGCCGGGGCAGGGCCCGGGGAGGCACCGGCTCCGCCGACCCCCAGCACGCAGCCCGTCCGCCCGGGACCCCCGCCCGCCCAGCCGGGCCCGCTGGCGCAGAGGGCGCCCCGGCGCCGCCTCCCGACCCCCGGGCGCTGCTCACCTTGGTGGCCATGGCGCTGCCGGCGCGGGCTGCGCTGCCGCTCTGCCCTCCCTCCCTCTCTCCGTGCCGCGGCTGCTCGGTCGGTCGCTCGGTCGGTGTGTCCGGCCCGCCTGCCGCCGCCGCCGCTGGGCCGCGCAGGCGGCTCCTCCTCAGCGTCCCCGGCCGCCGCCGCCTCCTGGGGGCCGCTGCGCGGCTCAGCAGCCAAGCGCCGGCGCTGGGCAGGCGGGGGCTGATGTGGCCGCGCCGCGATGCCCCCGCTTCGGCCGCCCTTTCCGCCCGCTCGGCTCGGCTCGGCTCAGCTCAGCACCCGGGGCCACTGGCGGGGCTGTTTGTCCGCGGCCTTTCCGGCAGGGCCCGGGGGAGGGAGGCACTCGCTGCGCTGCGGCGATCCCCGGGGGAGCCGCCCCGGCCGGTCCCGGGGGCAGTGGGGGCGGGCGGGAGGACCTCACCCACCCGCCATGCCCTCAGGGGCTTTGCTTTGTAGCCAGAGTTTGGCCTCAGATTCGCTCGCGTGGGGGAGATAGGCCGCAGGAAGGCGTTATGTGCCCCTCGGGTGCCTTTGAACGGAAATTTCAAAGCAACCATACAGCAAGGAAAGCAATTTTTTCCTCGGCCAGGCTCCATCCACGGCTGCCAGGGCGGTGTACGTCGTCCCTGACCTGTTTCAGCCGGGCCTTGGTGCACAGCAGTTAGCAGCAGCAGTGAAAGGCACCAAGTGCTAGCTGCTCAAGGTCGGTAGCGTTCCTGCCGGGCACTCTGTGACCATCTCACAAAAACTACCTGCGACCCCACCTGACTTCCAGCCTGCAGGAGAGATGAGATGGGAGGCTAAAGCAAAGGGAATTGGAAAATACGGTGACAGTGATCATGCAAGGTACTGCAGCATCCAAAAAGTGCAGCTTCTTGTTGGTATATTTATAGTGGTTGGCCTGGAATCAGGAGACTTCCTTTCTGTAGAAGGAAATACACGGTGTAATCATCAGGGACGCCAGGGAGAGCCCTAGGAGGCAGGTAGGCTGTAGGGAAACTGCATAGAATTCTACATCTATATTGCCTTGCCCATAGAATTACAAGCTTTTTTTCTGCTATTGTTAAGAGTTTCTCAGGAGAGCTTTATTAAAAGAGAAAAATACGTTCAGAGGTTGGGTTGGATTTTTTACATTGGAAAAAAATTTCCTAGTTGGACCTGTGAAATAGTTTCCATGGAAAGTGAGGATGAGGAAATAAGAGGAAGCTGGCCTGGCTGTTCATTTGCCACCACTTTTTGAGTGATTGAACTGATTAACTTCAGATGTTTCCAAACTCATTCGGTTCTGGTTTTAGCTTTTTCAGAATTCCATTAAATACAGCATTTCCAGCTTCCTTATGTAACAGCAGTACCTGAAGTGAAACCTTTCTGTGTGGCTCACAAGTGATGTTGTAGGACACCACCTTTAAGCTGAAGTATTTAGCATCAGTTTTGCCATGTGGTCCACCAATAAACTGGCAACTCATCTATCTTACAAGCAAAACTTCCTGAAGGTGGCTTCATTCCTGCTCTTCCACTTTCTCAGCAACAATCTTTCCAACATGGCAGGTTTTGATCCAGCCCTTTAGTGAACATCTTATAAAAAGGGGAGAGGTATGAAACCCAGGGACCCAGCACTGTCTCCTTTAGGGATCCCCAGCTGACTGTGAAGCACCCTCTGTCCTTTCTCCAGATGCTGCTTTGGTATGTGAAATATAATAAACTTGTGGCTTTAGCATAAGCTCGAGTCTGTGTCATTCTTTACCTGTGGTCAGCGCAAGTGCCAGAAAAGTTTAATGTGCAGCTGCTACCCAGTGTGCTTTAGCAGAGCTCGGCTTGCTATCTGGGGAATGAAGAGCACAGTCATGATTTGTTCAGCCTCTCTGTGTGTTTAAAGCCTCGACAGTTTTCCACTGTGAGGTACTCCTGAAAATGTCTTACTTGACAAGTTTGAGGGATGAAGGAAATATTACCATTTCTCTCAGTGGGAGAGAATATTCTGAGGAAAAAAAATTAATGGGATTTTTCCAATACTATTTGCAATTAATTGCTGTTAATTCTTATTTCAATGAACATATTCTCAGGAATCACTTTGGATTGCAAGTAAACCTATCCCTTCTTAGCAGTAAGCTTTATTATTTCTTAACACAGAGAGCCAAATACCAACAAATTGCTAATGAAACCACCTAAAATTTCCCAGACTTCTGAAATTAGTTACTTTTCTGCTACCAAGTTGTGTCCTAGTTAATTAGGACTGGATGTTTGCTTAGCATTAGACATAAAAGAAATCTCAGTGGCTTCAGTGGGGTTGTTTACATATCTAAGCATTTTGGTAGTTTTGAAGTGTAGTGCTCTGTGTGGAGCTTATCAGCTTTCACACACAGTTGACTAATTATTCACTTTGTACTAAAGCCCCAATGTATGCTATAATAAATATCTCCATCTCAGAAAAAAAACAATCAGTAACAGAAGAAAACCTCTTACCCAGCATATAAGTAACTTCTCTCTACAGATTTCTACTAGGTGTTTATTTCTGCAGCTAGCTGGTCTGCAGTGGTTCCCAGGAACTCAGAGTTCACGGAGAAGTGATCTTCTGCAGAGCCTCATCAAATGAAAAGCTCCTGCCAACAGCGCTATGCAGATTTTTTAAATGAAAGATGGACTCTGAGAAGGGACATGGAGAACATGTGCTGAATATGTTCTCTGCTGAGCAAGGCCTGCCTGCAGCTTCAAGCTCAAAGGAAGGCAGTGACCTTGTATGTTCTGATTTATGCAAACTTGGTGGGGAATGATAAAGAAACAGTGTTCTTCAGATAACCTTCGCACTGAAAACCATCTGGAGAAAGAACAATGTTTTGTGTTTCTAAGTTACTGTCCTCTGGAGCTCCTTGAGGTGGTGCACCTTGGATTTGTCCCTGCTGGGAGCCCGTGCCCCTGGCAGTACCGGGGTGATTGAGGTGGCCCTGAGGTGTTTACCTCAGCTCTGGAGGCATTTTCAGCAACAATTATCACTAGTGGCAACAACTTTGCAAATGGAGCAGGCCGTCAAGTACATGGTTTTGGGAAGTCTTTGCAGGAGGCATACAGAGATTATATTGGCCTAGGTCTTTATTTTCAAAGGTGTTTTATCAAGTAAGAAGTGATTTAATTTTTTTCTTGGTTGAAAGCCTAACAATGTGGTGTGCACGATAACATCAGTTCCACACTAAATGCTTTTAGCTCAAGGTTTCTAACTACATTCATTAATCAGAAAGCCTAACAAAGACTAGGGAGCAATTACAAGAACATTCCAACTATTTTTTATTCCTTTTAATTATCATGTTTATCTTAGTCACCTGATACACACCTCTTGTTTTAAGAAGGGGTAGAGATTTTTCACATTTTCAAAGCCTCAAAATAAAATTTATTTGGTTTATGAATCAAAAAGAGAAGCACTGTATTTTTCATCTTCAGAAGTCATATCCACACACCTTCACCCACTTCTCCCCAGGAGGTTCTTTGGGTGTCTTATTTCCTCTCAGCTGAGCGGCAGTTTCTCTTTCAGAATTGTGTTAACACCATTTCTTCCATGTTTTTGAGAAGTTTGCTAGATAGCAATATAAAATATTGCTTCCTCCTATCTTCTGTATCCTTCCCTCCCCCAGATTTGGACAGAAAATGATAGAAACTGCCACATGCATGAAACCTACTGTTATCTGCACAGAGCAGGAAGGGAGCAGCTGCTGAATCCCATTTGTGCATCGCTCTGTTCAGCAATGTCCAGTGGCATCACTTGCAAATGTATCTGAAAAATACATTTAACAAAATGCATTCTGAGGAGAAAAAAATGCTAATATTTCCCTTTGTTTTATGTTGGGAGCTTTTGGACACAAAGTACATGAAATCTTGAATCATATGGCATTTGCAGGAAAGCACGATTTTACCTCTCATTTACCCAGAACTGTGCATGGCAGTTTGAAATGATGCTCAAGAGATTACAGACATGCTTTCCAATCTTACTCTGCACCTGGTGCTGGAAGATCACTATCAAAACAGCAAGGCAGCCAGTCCTGAAATACTGCTGGATTTTAGTTTCAGACTTTCCTGGAAAAGCTGCTTTAGAAAATGGCACCCAAAATTGCACCCAAATTCCTGTGAGTTTTCAGTCTCTGAATTTCTCTCTGAATAAGCAGTTCTGAGAAAAACTGTTCTTCATGCATTTGATTGTGAAGTAAGAATTTTATCTTCTTAGAGTTGATAATCCAATACATTATTATCTGAACTGTGGCATGTAATATGGTCCCTTTTCAAGGTAAGTTCTATTTTTATATAGTTACATTTCTAATAAACATGCAGCCAAGACTGGTTTTGTGCTGTGTATGAATACGCTGCTTTCTTTACACTGTGGGAAAAGTGCAATGCTACGCTATGCCAGAATCTTTGCTCTCAGAGTGTTGGGGTGTTTTTAGCACATCTTTGTGAAGCTAACAGTTTGAAGTCATGGTGGACTCCCTGGATTCCATTTTCTGTTAAAAATCCATAAAAACAGCTTCGTTCACAGAAGATGTGAAAAAGCTACTCAGCTACTTAAGAAAAAGAAAAAGAAAAAGAAAAAGAAAAAGAAAAAGAAAAAGAAAAAGAAAAAGAAAAAGAGAGAGAGAGAAAGAAAGGGTGGGTGTTCCAGAGACAAGATGTTGTTGCAATGTGCTTTCAGACATGGTCAATATTTTGAAAGCAGTTTTTATCTTTTTTTTTTTTTTTTTCTTTTTGAAGTTGATTGCAAAGGTCATGTTTTGGTGCTGCTTTGACCACACTCAAGGGAGAGGGAGATGTATGGATTAAATACCTAGTGCAGATCCTTATGGATGAGCACCATGGCTGCAACGGTTTGGAGCTTGCTTAGTCATGATGAGCTATTCTTTCTTTGAATAAGAGTGGGGCGACCAGGTTTTTTCCCCCTTTTTTCCTTAAATGTAACCAATGTTTTGAACAATTTTGGTATTCTTTTTCTCACCTTTCAGCAGAATAATCAGTGATAGATGTATGTAATTTTTAGCAGTGTAAGTTTTGAAAGAAATTAATCAAAAATCATGCTTTCTTGTGCAAGGTCCTTCTTAAAATACCTAACACTAATAAAATTCTTACTTTTTTGCATTTCCTTCTGAGCTGTACACTGTTTGGTATTACAGATATTTACATCTGAGATGGGATACTTGTACCTGCATATATGTCATGCACTTTAGAAGGTTTGCATTTAGATCTTTTGTTCATACTCTATGTTCATTTGTGTTTCAATGCAAGGGCTGCTGGGATCAATGGGTTTCGAACTCAGATTTCCTGAAAAATAGAATACAGTTTAGTAAAAAGTATATTTTAAAAGGGATGTTTCC